GCTAAGCATCTATTTCCCTTGTCCAGACCCAGCTCTGACAGGCTGGTCCTCTGACCTACTCCACCCTCTGGCTATCCATGATCTTCTGAACTTCAACTTTCTGAACACCCTGTCCACGCCTTCCGCTAGACTTCAAGATCCAGGTAGGAACACAACCACCCCCACTCTGCTCCAATCATTCCACAAATAACAGTAACATCCCTTATACCTCCAAACCCTTCATCCAGGCCTTTGGCAGCCTCTGAACTTGCACAGGCTCCAGTCCTTGTGGCTGTGTAAGCTTGAGTGAGTCAATAACCTCCAAAAGCCACTTTTCGTCCATCGGTTGAATGGAAATATTAACGTTTGCTTTTCGTGCTCTTGTGAGGATTAAATGAGACGATGTGTTTGAAGCTCTGATAGAGCAAATAAATTCCTCAGTAAAAGAGCCAGGGGCTAGGGTGTAGCTTAGCCTGTAGAGTGTTTGCCCAGCTTCCACGAAGTCTTGGGTTTAGTCCCCAGCACCTCACAAACCAGACTCGGTATGCATGCCTATAATCCTAGCATGTAGGAAGTAGAAGCAGGAGGATCAGAAGGTCAAAGTCATCCTTGGCCCACAGTGTATCTGAGGCCATCCTAGGATACATGAGACTCTGTATCACAAACACATACCAAAAAAAAGATGAATTGAGGAGGGAAGAGAAAAATCGTTTGGTTGGTTGGTTAGTTGCAGAGCTGGGAATTGAACCCAGGGTCTTATACATGCTAGACAAGTCCTGAGCTATATTCCCAGATAAACAAGCTATTCTTAGGTCACACACTGGGAACACTCTCTCCTCCCTCCCTGCCTCCTGACACTTGGCAGCTTTGGAATGCACCTTGTGCCAGGGTGTCAGGGTCAGGCCAGGGGAGCTATGGTGAGCAATCCAAGGGAAGAGGCCAAACAGCCGGGCCGCCCTCCCCATTCCTCCTTCTACCCCACCTCCAGAGCAGCTCCTGAACTCTCTGGATACTGCAGAACTCCAGACAGAGAGGAAAATGGCACCCTGACACCCTCCTCCCTGTCCCACCCCCTCAAGAGTCTCAGTCTCAAGGCAGAATACAGCATGGCCATGATTTCCTGTCATAGCTCAGTGGTCCTCGGGCTCAGTAGTTGCTCCCTATCTCACATAGAAGGGAACTGCAACTCAGAAAAATCTGTACCTGGAGTTTCTGTGTACTAAGAGCCTGACCTTGAACTCTTCAGCCTGCCAGGCAACCTCCAGGCAAAAGTTCTGAGTCTCTTGAAGGGCTCTGGTAGATGACTAGCTCGGTCCTGTGCCCATGCTTGTCCTTAACCACCCACTGCCTGTCCCTGTCACAACCCAGCCCCAATTCTTTTCCTGAAACTGGCACCAGTTTCCATGGAAACGGGTTGTTTGGGCAGCTGTGGGATGATAGGCTATGCTGCAGTATCAAGGATTGTGCTTGGAGTCGCACACGGTTATGGGCTGCATCCAGCCAGGCAGGAAACCTGGTTATGGCGCTGCACTCCAATAAGCCCCCCGAGATTTCTGCGGCCCTAGTAATTCCAATACTGGTATCCAATGCAAGTAAGTTGCCTGAAGTGGGGAGAAGCCAAGTGTACCAGGAACCTCACCTCAGTATCCCTCACAGCACAACAAAGCTGCGTATTTCAGGAACATCCTGGAGCAGCTCTCTTGTCACAAGCATCGAGTTAAATGCCAAATGTGTCATCACACTGACTCCTCACCACCACCCCACAAGGTAAGTATTATTAATACCCACGTTCTCCAAATAAAAGAATGACATCCAGGAAGGCAAAAGAACTTGCGTAGGTCATCAGGCAAAGCGAGGCCGAGTGGCAGCGCTCAGTGCCCTCCAGCAGCTGGGAATGAGAAAAGGAAGTCCCTGCCCATCCTCTCAGCTCAGTGCCCATGGCCATGACAAATACAGCTACAGACAGCTCTGACGCAGGTCAGGAAAGCAGAACAGTGTGCCCCAACCTGGAAGGGCTCGGGTTCAGATAGTACAGAGTCTAAAAACAACCACACTGCACAGCCTGAGCTCCCATTCACACACAAAAAGGTCAAGACCAAATGTCCACGTTTACAACACTCACGAAAAGTAACCCGAAGGGCACAAGCCTCAAACAGTTGCCATTCCCGATGCTGGTGGTTAGTCTCGGAGGCATCCAAAGAAACTTCTTACTCTACTACAACATTAAGCATGAATTTTGTGTGTAGTGTATGCACCGGTGTGTGTGCAGGGGTGAGCATCTGTACAAGCACAGAGACCAGAGGATGATACAGAATGCCCCCCTCTGCCACCACTCCCTCTCCACCTCATCCCTGAGACAAGCACTCTCACTGAACCTGGAGGTAAGGCTGGGTCTGCAGCAAGCCCCAGTGAGCCTCCTGCCCATCCCCCACAGCACTCGGTGACACAGGCATACAAGTCCATACTCGGCTTCTTACTCAGTCCTCAAGCTTGAACAGCAAATGCTGAGCCATTTCTCCAGCTCTGGGTTTTGTTTCGTTTTGTTTGAGACAAGGTCTCTCACATTTCCCAGGATGGCTTCCAACTGACCCTAAAGCCAAGGAAAACCTTCAACTCCCGATCCTCCCTCTACCTCCCAAATACTGCAATTACAAGTGTACCCCATTATACCCTATTTATGCAGTGCTCCCCAGTGGTGAACCTAGGGCTTTGTGCATGGTAAACAAGCACTCTGCCAACTGATCTAAGTCTCGCCCTAATTGTGAAACGTTTTAAGTATCAAAAATAAAAATAAGACACAAGCGTAGAAAAAAGATGCATGGAAGGCCTGCTCCAAATGTCTATAGGCAACTGTGCTGGACATTGCAACATGCAAGGTTTCCATCTCCTCTTTCTTTCTTTCCTGGAACTCGCTCTGTAGACCAGGCTGGCCTCAAACTCACAGAGATTCACCAGCTTCTGCACCCCCACCAAGTGCTGGGATTAAAGAAGCCACCACTGCCAGGCTCCTCTTTATTGTCTATGACCCATTCATATTACTTTTGAAATTAAAGATGAATGATTTGAAGCCTGGAGAGATGCTCAGAGGTTAAGTATGCTTGCTGTTCTTCCAGAGGTCCTGAGTTCAGTTCCCAGCACCCATTTCAAGGTTCACAACCACCTTTGACTCCAGCTCAAGAATCCAATGGCCTCTTCTGGCCTCCTCTGGCTCCTGCACTCATGTACAAACACCCACACACAACACATACGCAAAGTAAATGATAAAATAAGTCTAAACAATAACAAAACAGATCAGTGGTTTTGAGTCAGGTATACATGCCTACAATCCCACCACTCAGGAGGTGAAGGTTAGAGGTCAGGAACTCAGGCCACCCTTAGCTACATAGGGAATTTGAAGCTAGCCTGGGCTGCCTAAGACCTTGACCTACCACTTCAAATACCACAATATAGATGCTTGCAAGAACAATGCCATAGTGTTGGGATGCAATCACCCTACAAGTAGGGATAAACATACAGGCAGCTCATTGCCTCCTGTCTCAATCTTAGGAATGAGTTGTTTGACTCAGATCAGTCATTTGATCTCTTAAGGCCTCCGAGACCACATCGTGCAATGGGCATGTTGTCAGTGTCTGCCTCTAAGGTTGTTACAAACATTGCAGATCCGGTCGGAATGTTACCACTCAAAGTGCAGGAGCAGGCAGCGCTACAAGGTCACAGGACAAACTACCTGGGTTTCTGACCCACTCGTCATCTCTTTCCCTCTCTATAATTTACCAAAAACACTCAGCACACAAAACACATACAATAAATCAACTACGTGGGAAAAAAACAATTGTTTATAGACAGTAGAAATGATTAGTATCATAATTAAACAGACAATGAATGCAAAGAGAAACAGTGGCTAAAAGGACATGGTTAAGTACTGTCCATCACGGTGTGAGCCTCAGTTTCCCCGTCTGGTAAAGTGGGGCTAATTCCTATCTTGAATGAGCCCCAAAGGGAGTGGCACTATTAGGTGTGGCCTCGTTGGAGGAGGTGTGTCATTGTGTGGGCAGACTTTGAGGTCTCTTTTGCTCAAGCTTCCCTCAGTGTAACAGTCAGTTGACTTCCTGTTGTCTGCAAGATGTCGGCCTCTCAGCTCTAGCACCATGTCTGCCTGCATGCTGCCATGCTCCCCGCCATGATCATAATGGACTGAACCCCTGAAACTGTAAGTGAGCTATCCCACTTGAATGTTTTCTTTATGAGTTGCCATGGTTACCAATAGGTGGTGGCACATGCCTTTAATCCCAGTACTCATAAGGCACAGGTCGGCAGATCTCTGTGAGTTTGAGGCCAATCTGGTCTACAGAGTGAGTTCCAGGACAGCCTAGACTGTTTCACAGAGAAACCCTGCCTCAGAAAAAAAGTTACTGTGGTCATGGTGTCTCTTCACAGCAATAATAAATCCTAATTAAGATAACCACCTCACCCAGGTTATCATGTTTCCTGTTTTTAAATGAAGGAAGTTTTATTAAAAATAGTGGAAAGTGATTCCTTCAGGAAGTAAGCTGAAGCAAGACTTGAACCCAGGACTTGCTGCCTCCAAAAGATAATGGCCCTCACAGGAGCTCAGTAATATAGCTTACTCTTCCTCTCCTGACTCTGGAATTTCAATGTGCATCATCTGGGAAGCTGGTGCAAGCAGCACACACCTGTATCCCCAGCACCTGAGCAACTGAAGCATTAGCATCAAAAGTTCAAAGCTAGCAGAGGCTACAGTGAGTTCAAACTCAGCCTAGACAACTTAGTGAGACCCTCTATCAAACTGAAATGTAAAAAGGGAGTTGGGATTATAGCTTAGTTGTAGTAAAGTGTCTGCCTAGTGTGCATGAGGCCCTGGGTTCAATCCCAAGCAAAACAAATAGCACAGGGATGAGGGGGGAAAGCCTTGCTAAGAAACAATGATGTTTACCTCTGCTAAGTGTTGTGGCCTAGAAGAGTAGGAGCTTTCCTATTGTAAACGATCAGGCTCAACTTACCACTCCAGGGCAACCTCTTTGAAAGACTTCTTCCGGGTGGTCCTGGCTGGAGTTGTCTGTTCGCTGTTGTGGGGCACAGGGCACCGGACCTGTCCATCGCCACCGCTTTTTCACTTCCTTGGATCTCCTCCGCCCCAGGGATGTGCCACTGAGGCCACCCAAGGGCTCAGCTGGAGCAGCAAGTCCTTGTTCCAGCCCTACCCTAGACACTGGCTGGGCCTTGACCTCTGGCACCTCCGGGTCAGGTGGAGTGCCAGAGCTGCCAAACAGGGGCTGTGTTTCCTGCTGCTCTGTAGAGCCCTCAGTCAGCACCCCTGGGTACAGTGCTGCACTCTGGAGAGGGTCCTGTGTGGCCAGGTTAAGGGATTCATCTCCAAAGAGCCCCGAGAGTCCAAAAAGGTGATCAAGGCTGCCTGGCTGAGCCACATTCTTAGAAAAGAGCATGCGTTCAAACTCGGTCTCTGGGGCCCAGTCTGCCCAGCTTCCACCTGGATCTCCAGGACCTGTGTCCTTAGAGGAAATAAGGCTCTGAGGGCCTGCAGATGACTCTGGAGACGCACTCTTGGGAGAGCCTTCTGTAGGCCAGCAGTCACCATCAAGGCTCTGACGAAGCCTCAAGAAAAACCCTGCCTCCTCCTCATCCTGGGGACAGATCCCACACTTCTTGGATTTCTTCCGTACCCTCTGAGGGTGCCGGGCTGGAAAGACTGACAGAACCTTTCCACTGAGTCCCTCCTTGGTAAGTGTAGGAACTGTTCCATCATCTGGAGAACAAACTCCCTCAACCATGGTACCTTGTCCAGACCCAGGGCTGCTGGCCCCTTCCATTTCTGCTGGGCTCTCTGTGCAGACCAGCACTCTATCTGGAAAGTCCAGTGATCGCAAAGATTTCTGAAGCTTCCTGTAGCCAAGAAGTCAGGCAGAGAGTCCTGGAGCCTGAATAGGATCCTCTGCGATAGTTCAATGGTCCTGCTAGCAACCTCACCTCTTAGAAGGGCCCCACCTCGCGCCCTGCAAGAATGAAGCGATCAAGGGTGGAGAAGACAGCCCTCAGATAGAGCCAGTTCCCACATCTGCTTAAAAAGAATAGGGTAAAAATCACTACTTATCAATGACACTGTTTAGTATCTCACATCATCCTAGCTAATTCAGAGATTGCCCAAAAGCACACAGAGAGCAGAAAAAGAGGGAATTCTTGAAATGCAAAGCCTAGCTCTAAACCCTACATGGAGCAAAAAGCCATCGCCTCTACACCCCACTCCTATAGACCTCATTCTGAATCAAGAATCCCAGGCCTAAAACTCCAAAGGCTCAAGCCTGGGATGCTACAGCTCCCTCTCCTCCCACTCCTGGGGGGGCGGGGGTGGTGGTGAAGTAGGAGCACGTGATGCGGGGGAGAGGGTCCTAGATCCTGAGGTGGGGTGGGGGCGGGGCCTGGTGGTTCGCTACAGTGGCTAGCTGGGGGGGGGTGCCGGCACTCTTTTCCAGCAGGGGGCGCTCGCTCCCTGCCGAGGGCTTCTGGGAGGAGGTGCCAATCACTCTGGCTCACAGCAAGGAGCGAGTGCGTGGGCAAAGGAGTCCCAGGCCCCCTGGATCTTGAAAGCTGCCTGAGAGCATAAACAGAGTGGGGGAGGTGTCGGAGACCCTAGGGGGTTGTTAGACTCAAATCTGGTGTTTTTCCTAGTTATTTTTATATTGTCTGGAATACAATATATGTGGATTCACGTGTGCATTCCAGCCCCATAGAATGTCTAGAAATAGAAAGATTTAAACTTCCTCTCATTTCTCAGCCTTCCACTCTGGGGAACTTTGGGGTTTTTCTTTGTGGTCTATTTAGTTTGCCTAATTTCACAACTGTAGGTAACATTCTCATAACCATATCACTTGGTTTTTAAATTTTAATAGCATTTCTTTTCCACGTGTGCCGGGTTCATTTACCATTTTTCCCCCTTTCCTATGTTTTTTTTTTAATTTTTAAAAATTGCATTTATTGGACGTGATGACACACACTTTCAATCCCAGCACTCAGGAGGCAGAGACAGGCAGATCTCTGTGGCTTCGAGGCCAGCCTGGCTACATAGTAGGCTCCAGGACAGCTAAAGCTATGTGGTGAGGCCTGTCTCAAAGAGTTTTTAAAAAAGAAAAGAAAAGTGAAGGTAGCACAGGAACCCTTCCATTTCAGAAGCCAACCTGGATGTATGAGACCTTGACCTGAATTAAGTAGGTATGAATAAATAAAATACCAGTTGCAAGGGACTCACTCCGGAAGCCATTTCTGCCTCCCATCTTCTGAAGAGAGGGGGAAGGTACACTGGAGTAGGAGAATGGAAGCAGGATTTGAAAATATTCTTCACCTAATCAATCTATCAATTTCTCTCTGGTAGTGTTTTTGGTTGTGTTTGTTTGTTTGTTTGTTTGTTTTGCTTTAAACAAGGCCTCATGAATCTCAGGCTGGCCTAGACATCATCGAGGAGCCAAGGGTAACATTAAGCTTCTAACCTCCACAAAGCTGGGACCCCAGGTCTGGGTTTATCCAGCACTAGGTTCAGGCACGCCAAGCAAGCACTGTCCCTGGGCCCTCAGTGGAGTTATTTTTAAATACCAGTCATGGGTTAAAAATACCCTGTGTTAATGGGGGTTATTTTTAAATCTCACGTTACAATTGTGGATTGATGTTGGTAAATTCCTGCTTTAGATATTTCAGAACCATTTTTTAGAAGCATACAGAACTATACTGTTTTTTAAAACGTGGAACCCAAGGCTAATGTTTGTCCTAAAAGCTTATTCATTTCGGCATAATTTCCAGCTTGGAAAAAAAAAAGGTGCAAATGTATATATTTCCAGACGCTCCATGCATGCCTTGCCTGTTCCCCTGCTTATGTGCACTGGGTGCTATCAGGGAACATTGCCACAGCTAAGCAGACAGCCACAGTGGAGGGCTATCTGCTAAACCCTGAACCCCCTCTGTCCTTTGGGTGCCAGGCTCCAGCTCAAGGCAACAGGGTGCACTAAATCCTCTCTCCTGTTGTGAAGTGTCCCAGTCATTCCTTGTTTCTCATGATTGTGACAGTTTTTGACAGGGTACCCCTGCCCAGTGCTTGTTCCTCTAATGGCTTCCTCCTGATTAAGATGATGTTAGGCATTTTCAGAGTGCCACAGGGGGGAGGTGCCTTCTGCCCCGTCCTCCTGGGGCATGTGACAGCTACCAGTGACATTATCCCTTCACCACTGCTAGAGAGTTTGCCAGACTTGGTCACAGCCAAGTTACTATTTTAAGAGTATTAAGTTGGAGAGGGGTCGGACTTTCAAAGGCTGTTAAAAGTGACACTGTGATGTCAAACAGGAAAACAACAGAAGCCATGTCTGGATGGATGGCTCCATGCGGCCTGGCTCTTCCTAAGATTCTGTTTTTGCTGTCTGTATTTTCTATTGTTCCACAGTTAACATATATGATGTGAAATTTTTTAAAATTTATTTTTGACTGATTGAAACCAATTCATTTATTTATTTTGAGGCAGAATGTCTCTACATAGCCCTGGCTGTCCTAGAACTCACCATGTAAAACAGGCTATTCTCAGACTCACATAGCTCTGCCTAACTACTTCCTGAGTGCTGGGATTAAAGGCACATGCCCCCTAATGCCACTGGCTCAGAGGTTAAGAGCACTGACTGCCCTTCCAGAGGTCCTGAGTTCTATTCCCAGCAACCACATGGTGTCTCACAACCATCTGTAATGAGATCTGATGCCCTTTTCTGGCCTGCAGGCATATATGCAGTCAGAACACTGTATACATAATAAAAATACTTTATTTTCAAATGCATGTATTCACGTCTCTGTGTTTGTGCATGCCCTGTGTGTTTGTGCATGCCGTGTGTGTGTGTGTGTGTGTGTGTGTGTGTGTGTGTGTGTGTGTGTGCGTGTGTGTATGTCTGCAGAAGCCATAGAGTGTCGGACCCCCTAGAGCTGGAGTTAGAGATGAGTGACTGGCAGATGTGGGTTTTGGGAATCTAATTCAGATCCTCTGAAAGGACAGCACATGTTCTTAACTGTTTAAACTTGAGGGCAGCTGAGGGAAGCCAACACTGGCACCAGAAGCAACTGCAAATTGGCAATGATGAATAGTCAGCTTTACTAAAGACAGACTCTGCTCTCAAATGGCTGTGCCATTTTGCACTCTATCAGCAGTGAGTCCCTGCCCTCTGTACCCCGGGTACTCCAGGCTCAAACAGCCTCTGGCATATGCAGTGTGTTCTTTCTCTCTCCTTCCACCAAAACCGCTCTTTCTCTTTCTCTCCTACCTCCTTCTCTGATGCCATAAATACATCTCATTTTTTTTCTTTTAAATTTAGAAGTACAAATTTAAAAAAAAAAAGTTTTAAGACAGAGTCTCACTATGTAGATCTAACTATTCTGGAACTCACTTTGTAGACCCGGCTGGCCTCTAACTCACAGAGAACCACCAGCCTCTGCCTTCTGAGTGGTGGGACTAAAGGTGAGCACCACCATGCCCGGCTTACAGAAGTAGAAATAAAGTTTATGCTTCCAACTAGTTTCTATTAAATAACAATGGTTATTAAGATCCTGGAAGTAAAGACTAAGAAAGGACTCATCCCGATGCTCTGGGCTGTTGGTGACTGTAGGAGATGTAGCTGGGCAGAACAGGAAGGCTGGAACATCAGAAAATTGAGGGGGAGCATGTGAAACAGGGGTGCAATAAATGGTAGCAAGATAAAGGCATGGTAGAGAAAGGAATGAGAGGGTCACAAAGAGGTCACTTTCAGAAAACAGGACAGAATTGACACCCAAAGGGAAACTGTCTTAGTCACAGTTCTATTGCTGTGAAGAGACATCATGGCCAATGCAACGGTATAAAAGAAAGCATTTAAATGGGGGCTCGCTTACATTGTCAGAGGTTAGTCCGTTATCATCATGACGGGAAGCATGGCAGCACCCATGGTGCCGTAGCGGTAGCTGAGCGCTATACCTTGATCCACAGAGAGAGAGAGAGAAGTGCAGACAGACATATACAAATTGATTGAGCTCTGGCCAAGGTGTGCGCCTTTGAAACCAGCCCACCCCCAATGACATACTTCCTTCAAAAAGGCCACACCTATATGTGCCTATGGGGGTCATTCTTATTCAAACCACCACATTCCACTCTCTGGCCCCCATGGGCTTGTAGCTGTATCATAATGCAAAAAACGCATTCAGTCCTGCTTCAGAAGTGCCCATAGTATTCAGTCTCAAGACTGCTTCAAGGTACAAAGTCTCTTCTGCGACTCAAAAAAATTCCTTAACCGTGACCACCTGTAAATCAAAATAAAAAAAGCAAATCACAGTCTTCCAATATACAATAGCACAGAATACACATTACCATTCCAACAGGAAGGATGGTGAGGAAATACTGGACCAAAGCTAGTCTGGAACCTAGCAGGGCAAACTCCAAACTCTGCACTTGCTTGTCTGATGTCAAAGTGCTCTTCAGATCTTCAACACCTTTCAGCTTGGTCGACTGCAACACACTTCTCTCCTGGGCTGGTTCCACACCCACTCTGCAGCTCTCCTTGGCAGGTGTCCTGTGACTCTGACAACTCAAGCATCTTGGGATCTCTAAGACAATCGAGGCTTCACCTTCACAGTCTCATGTGGTGGACATCCCTGACCTCCATAAAGGGACATACACACATACACACACACATACAACACAGACCTCCCTGGGCCTCCATAAAGGGACACACACACACCCAACACAGACCTGCCTCTAACAACTTTTCTTTGCCATGGAGGA